ATTTTTAAATTCTTCTTTAATTAAGTCTTTGTTATTATTTAAATTATTCTAACTGTAAAGGTAATTTAGTCCCTGGGGTTCTTAAAATCTATAGTTTTTATATAGCTTTAAGATATTAAGATCTATATATTTTATTTTTTTATTTTATTTTTATATTTTAAATAAAATTTATTATTTATATTTCTTTTTTTTTTTTTATAGGTTTTAAAGCAGTAATAATAATAAATATATTATTAATAATACTGTTAATTTTATTTATTTTTTTAAAGGTTATAGTAATAATAATAACCTTTTTAAATTATTTCTTTTTTAACGCCTATAAAAACTATTTTAATTTTTCCTTTTTACTTTTATATATAAGATATTAATTATTATAGTAGGTGGTTTAGCTAAAGAGATTATAAGGTATAATTTTAATAATATTAATTTATACTTTATTAAATTTTTTAATTTCTTTAATAACTTTCCTTAGGGTATTAGGTTTATTATTCTTACTCTAGTAGTCTTTTTCCTTATAGCTTATTTTTCTACAGTAATTACATTTTCCAATAAACTTATAAATATTAATAATATTAAAGTCTATTTTTCTAAGTCTACTATTATTACTACTAGTAATATATTATTATTTAACTTTATAATTAATAGTATATAAGCTTTTTTATCCTTTTTTTCTTTTTTATTTTTATTTTTAATACTTTTTATATTATTAATTATTAATTTTAATTATTATTTAGGTATATTTAGTAAATATCTTAGGTTAGTTTTTTAGGTATAGTTTATTTTTAACTTCCAGTTTAAGGCTTTAGTAATATACACTTATTTTTTTTTATTCTATTTAGTTAACTTTATTTAAGAGTTATATAAAGATAATAATATACTTTAAAAGTATTTCTTTTTACTTAATAATAGTAAGTTTATTTTTAGCCTTTTTTTCCTTATTAATTATTCTAAAGGAAATAATAAATTATTTTTTAAAATCTTTATAAAATTTAAAAACTTTTTTAATTTATTTATTTTAATTAGCCTTATTATTATTATAATAGTCTTTTTAAATTAATTTAAATTAATTTTTAGCAGCTTTATTAAGTTAAGACCTAGTATAATAGATTTTTACTTTTTTTTTAGTTTTACTTAAGGTTTTTAGGAAGTATTTAAAGTAAATATAAACTACTATAAAGAATTTTTTAAAGTCCTTAAGGTCCCTTTTAAACTTTTTAAAATATTCTAGCCTTATAATTTTTCCTTTTTATTTTACCTTAATAAAGTTTTTATTTTTATAGCTGTTAATAATTTTTTACTGTTTTTTAACAGTTACTTTAAGTTTTTCTATTACTACTATAAACTAAATAATAGTTAATTTTAAAAATATAATGTTTTTATTATTTTTATTTAGTTTATTTTAAAATTTAATATTATTATTTAAGTATTTATTTTAAGCTTTACTTTTATAATTAATTTTAATATCTGGGATATTATAGGTTAATATTTAATTCTTTACTGGGTATTACTTAAAGGTCTAAAGTAACTGTTTAAATAAAAGTTATAAATATATAATAAACTGTAAACCTATATGTTAATATAGGTTAGGATTTTTAAAGAATAAACCTAAATTTTAGTTTATATTAATGAATAAGTTAAGCTAAATGTTTAAATAATATAAATAATAATATTATTAATTAATAGAGAGTATTAAGTAAATTTAATCTAAATATTATTATTTATAACTGGCTATTTAATTATTTTAAATAAGCGTAGAGAAATAAACGTTATATATTTAGTTAAATATATTCTAATTAACTGAGGTCGACGGTTGGCTTTCGTCAACTTATACTAAGTTGCTCTTAGTTAACGGTTAATCTATATTAACTTTATTCTAATAGGTCGCTCGGCCCGTCCTTCTTCTAAGGTACGTACCTTCTGTTGCAGCCATAAAATGTTAGGTCGTAATAAAATTAACCTTTTTTTTTTTTTTTTTTTTTTTTTTTTTACTTTAAATATATTTCTTTTTTTTTATTATTATTTTCATTTTTTTTAGTTTCTTTTTATTTTTATATCTTTTACCTTAAGGTATTAATTTATTAAGCTATATAAAGCCTTTATATATATTAAGCTATGCCCCCTATTACTCCCTTTACTAATATATATACAGGCTAGAAATTTATTAAGCTGTACCTACGGTTTAATGCAGAATAATGGGATAGGGTAGGTAGATTCCTAGTGGAGGGATGTGTATATAGGATGTCCGATTGAGTTTGAGCGCGTAGTGTTGTTATATAAGTTAGTAGATAAGATGTAACTTATATCTGGTACTAGTATATTATTAACGACTAACTATCTAAACTATCTAATGAGTGTAGTTATTAACATCTTATATAGTATGTCGTTCTTTTAAGGATCGCCGTTGCCTATCGGTTTAGTTGACTAGGGACCGCTTGTGTACGTTGGTCCTTGGTGTAAGGACCGCTCTCTCAGGTCAGTCCTATTATGATTGGTTGTTTGTTCCGTAGTTAACCTAGGGTACGTACCATCGTTCTAGTTATAAAAGGTAGTCAGGTCGTTACATATGTTCTTTTCTGTTTTAGATTTCCCATCCGCAGTTTATCTGCTATGTTACTAGTTTTAACTTCGATATACCTACACATAGATTTAAAACACATTCATTATCAAAGGTTGATATTATCGCCTAGCCCTACTTTAGCAGGTGCCAGGAGCTGGGACAAAGCGAATGAGTGGACTCGCTGCTGAGAACACACTATACTAGAGCTAGGCATCTAAAAATTTATTTCTGAACCTGTCCAAGAGGGCGAGGCCTTCCTTATATAATTTGCCCAATTCATAAAGGTTAGCTTGTGCCAACCGGCACAGCAGTGCAAGATTGTGATATTCTTTTTTTTTTTTTTTTTTTTTTTTTTTTTTTTTTTTTTTAAATTGTCCAAATCGTCATTTTAAGAGGCCGAAATCATAATACGCCACATTCTTTGGTCATGCCACCCAATCAAGCCAGCTATTCCGCGTATTATTAGAGTTCGGCCAAACTTTAACATTAGGCCATCTTTTAATAACATGACTATTGCATCATCCTCCAATATTACCTCACTACCTATGTGTAACCCGTTTTAACAAGTTACATTGTGTAATTCAAGGCGAGTTCAAATAACCCTGATCTCTTTAATAGTAGGATTCCCTGACCTAGAACTGACCAACGTCTACGCTACTCTGCTGATATGGATGATATATACAACCTACCTATTACGCAGCGTGTAGCTACCACTACACAAGATATCGAGAAAGCTAACAATGCCGACGAACACTTGCGAAATACTACAGTTAAGAGCCTGACCTGGAGCGGCGTTACAGTTAGTGTGAGGGACCGCTCGACGAAGCAGCCCAAAAAAATTGTTGATAATGTGGAAGGCATTGTTAGATCCGGTATGTGCAAATTTACTATTATGCTGGTGATTTGATATCTCTGATTGCTTACATGAACACTAGGCGAGCTATGCGCATTAATGGGTCCGTCCGGCTGTGGAAAGACAACTTTGCTCAATGTCCTTGCCCAACGGCCAACTCATGCCCCTAGCGTGAGTGCCAACGTCCTTGTGAACGGAGTCCGGTTATCAACAACATTATTTCGCACCATCACATGCTTTGTAGAGCAAGAAGATGCTTTTATCGGTTCTCTTAATATTAAAGAAACGCTGAACTTTAGTTCTCGGCTTGCTACTAGGTCCGGTCCATTCTCCTTTCATTCTTTATTTATTCATCTCTTTTTATCGCCATCAGCTAACAAGTGCCAAAGTTCCATCCCAGCTCATGAACGACTTAAGCGAATTGATGCACTCATTAGCGACTTTGGTCTTAGCGAGCAAGCCGGCACTATTGTTGGCACACCTATTCGCAAGGGTATCTCAGGTGGGCAGAAACGACGACTTGGCGTGGCCAGCCAGCTCATCACAAGCCCCAAAATACTCTTTCTTGATGAACCAACCAGTGGGCTTGACTCTGCGGCCAGCTGGGAGGTTGTCAAGTATTTGAGTGTCATAGCTCACCGCCACCACCTCATTATCATTTGCTCCATTCATCAGCCCTCTACGGCCACCTTTAACCTCTTCGACAGACTGATGCTGCTCTCTGGTGGCCAGATGTACTATTTTGGTACTGTAATCGATAGCTTGCTATACTTCGAATCTATGGGGTTAAGCATACCCACACACGTTAACCCGGCAGAGTTTCTTATCGATGCCCTTAATGTCGATTTTGCGCGCGACAAAGCATTGGCTAATAGGCGTATTCATGAGCTCCAAAGCGGCTGGACGATGTCCCAACAAGCCGATGAGATGAGTCATCTCCGCTTGGCAACCGAACAGCAGCAAAGTGGTGGTATGGAAATATCATTAGATGAACATCCTAACCTTCTGAGTATCATTATCACTCTGCTGCATCGCAGTTTCATTAAGAGCTACCGTGATGTCGTAGTTTATGGCATCCGTGTCGTTATGTACACTGGCCTCGCCATCATGATGGGCACTGTCTGGGTTCGCCTTAGTCCGGATCAAGTCTCAATTCAGCCTTTCATTAATGCAATTTTCTTCGGCTCTGCTTTCATGTCTTTCATGGCCGTGGCATACGTTCCCGCCTTTATCGAGGATACGCAGCAGTACATCAAGGAGCACCGGAACGGACTGTATGGCCCAGCCGCGTTGATAATTTCTAATTTCTTAATAGGCCTACCTTATTTATTTTTTATTTCCATAATCTTCTCTGTTATCTCTTACTGGCTCATTAATTTCCAGCCTACAGCTCAAGCTTTCTTTATCTGGGTGATGTGGCTGTTCTTGGATCTTATTTGCGCTGAATCCCTGGTTGTCTTCATGACATGTCTCTTCCCGAGCTTCGTCGTATCGCTCGCGCTGGTCGCGTTTGCCAACGGTCTTTGGATGTGCGTTGGAGGCTTCATGGTCCCACCTACGGTTCTTAATCCTTTTTATACATATGTATTCCATTACTGGGACTATCAAAAATACGTTTTCCAGGGTATGATGGTAAACGAATTTGGACACCGAGTTTACTCCTGTGGGAAGGACTGCCTTTGTATGTACCAGTCAGATCTTGCGGATCGGTGTCAAATCGCAGGGCAAGCCGTGCTAGACCAGTTCGGTTACAATGATCACATCGCTATGAATGTTGGGATCATGATTTCTATAATTGCTGGTTATCGGTTAGCGTCTTGGCTTGTTTTACGTTTGCGGGGAGGAGTATAGCTGGCTAATTGCCGAGAGAAACATATTGAAGGTCATAGTATGTATCGGTTAACACCCAAAGTATTTACTCTGCTATATTCACTCTACTATATAGCATACCTGGAGTATAGAGAAGCCTACATTACAAACGATAACTGTATAACTCCATTCAGGATTCTACCCGAAAGAAAGCAGGGCAGGCTAGGCCATATAGATGGACTGAACCCTACTGGCTTATGGCGATGAAAAATTTCCTTTGTGTTTGTTTGTTTCTTCATTTATTTAATTCATTATCATTTACAATCACTAACTGGAATTGTAATTGCTAACAAATAGTACACTTCCTGTTGACTTTTATACACGGAATTCAACTATTGAAATATAGTTAATTTTGTAAAATTTAAAGTTTATTTTTAATACCCCTACTTAATTTCTATGAAAATTGCGTACGTAGGCTTTCGTTATTTGCAAAACTTAGCTGACAAAAGTGCCGAAACAATCAATGCGTTTGGTGAAGGCGACCGCGAAGGCGATTGAGATGAATCGACGGGACGGTCGGATACCCAAAGATACCGAGAAACGAACGACTAAGCGCACCAGACGAGCTTCGTCTACGGATACGGATTTCAAACCAACTATCAATGTTAGAAACGAAGCCGCAGGAGATAATAGCGAAAGGTTTTTTCTTTTATACCCAGCCCTAGGACGGAGCAGAATTGTCACGACCTGGCTTTTATAGTTGCGACAATGGGCCTACAGGGTAGGCGGAAATGGATTAACTATGGACCGACCAGCCAATTAGTGCTGTCGCTCTCCAGATCTAGGAAAGCTAAAAAAGCTAGCTTTCTAAAGTAATCTAAAGAAAGCTAAAAAAGCCAGCTTTCTATTATAATCTAAAATATATAATTAAATATATAAGTTTATATTTATATTATTTATTTAAATAGCTTAAATAGCTAATTATAAATAATAACGTTTAAATTAAATTTACTTAATATTTTTTATTAATTAATAATATTATTATTTATATTATTTAAACGTTTAGCTTAGCTTATTTATTAATATAAACTAAAATTTAGGTTTATTTTTTAGAAATCTTAATTTATATTAACCTATAGGTTTACAGTTTATTATATATTTATAACTTTTATTTAAATAGTTATTTTAAACCTTTAAGTAATAATTAGTAAAAAAATTTAAATACCTAATTATAAAACTTTTAATAATAAAATATATTATAAAAGTAAAGCTTAAAATAAATATTTAAATAATAATATTAAATTTTAAAATAAATTAAATAAAAATAATAAAAACATTATATTTTAAAAATTAATTATTATTTAGTTTATAATAGTAATTAAAAAACTTAAAAAAACTATTAAAAAATAATAAAAAATTATTAATAATTTTAAAGATAAAAACCTTATTAAAATAAAATAAAAAGGGGAAATTATAAAGTTAAAATATCTTAAGAAATTTAAAAGGGACTTTAAAAACCTTAAAAAATTCTTTATAATAGTTTATATTTATTTTAAATATTTCTTAAAAACCTTAGGGGAATTTAAAAAAAAAATAAAAATTTATTATATTAAATTTTAATTTAATAAAACTACTAAAAATTAATTTAAATTAATTTAAAAAGATTATTATAATATTAATAAAGTTAATTAAAAAAAGTAAATTAAAAAAATCTTCCAGTTTTATAAAAAATTTAAAAATTAATATATTACCTTTTTTAAAACTATTAATAAAAAAAAAATTAAAAATAAACTAACTATTATTAAATAAAAAAGAATACTTTTAAAATATATTATTACCTTTATACAGCTTTTAAATAAAATTAATTAAATAAAATAAAAAAAGATAGTTATATATTATTAAAGTTTTAAATTAAAAATTAAAAATAAATTAAATATAAAAAATTAACTTAAAATATATATTAAATATACTTAAATAATAATTAAAATTAATAACTAATAATATAAAAAGTATTAAAAATAAAAATAAAAAAAAAAATATAAAAATATATATATTATAAATTATAAAGCTAAATAAAAATATATTACTAATAGTAATAATAGTAAACTTAAAAAAATAAATTTTAATATTATTAATATTTATAAATTTACTAAAAAATATAATTACTATAAAAAAATAAGCTATAAAGAAAAAAACTACTAAAATAAATATAATAAACCTAATATTTTATAAAAATCTATTAAAAAAACTAAAGAAACTAAAAAAATCTAAGTTAATATTATTAAAACTATACCTTATAACCTCTTTAATTAA